GCTGGGGGTCGCTCTGCTCTTTCTCCGCCCATTGCCTTCAGTGCAGGAAGGTGGGGAAGCGGCTTTGCTCAGGCTGTCTTTAGCCCCTCGTCTTGTGCTGTTGTCATTGGCAGCAACCGGCGCTGAGAAGTCTGGTGTCCCTCCTGTATAAGGACTACAGCTAAACTTCCGGTATGCCTTCTTCTCTGTTATCCTCCTAGTCCTGTACTGCAGCATAGAGACAGCTGGGCTACACAATGTCCTGAGTCCAGCTCCTGCCTGGGGCAGTACATGGGGGCACTACATGGGGACACTACATGGGGACTTCATCTCCTTTCTGTTGAGGAAGATTCATTTGGATCTGTATAGACACCAGTTTGTACAGTACAGGTGACAGATATGTAAAGCGATAGTAAACCATAGAAAGTGAAAAAAAAAGGGTAATATCATAATAATTATTATTATACAGGATTTATATAGCGCCAACAGTTTGCTCAACACTTTATAATGTGCATCTCATACTAGCCCACTATGAATGAAGCCCTCCAGCAGCACGCTGTCACCACCCACAGGGCTTCCATCTTCACCCGGTCTTCCTTCAAGGTTTGTGGGCTCTGGCCGTCTGACTAGGCGAGCCGCGATGATGTCACTCCTGCGTGCTGGGCATGGCACAGAGCTCAGGTATGCTATTCCTTCAGAGCACATAAGTCGATGACGACTCCGGCTGCTGCTAGCTGGAACATCTCCTTTACGGTGCATGTTTACCACTTGCCCTCCAGAGGATTCCCCCCCTTCCTGACCAGGCCATTTTTTGCGATATGGCGCTGCGTTATTTTAACTGACAATTGCGCGGTCATGCAACGCTGCACCCAAATGAAAGTTACTTCCATTTTTTTCCCACGGATTGAGCTTTCTTTCGGTGGTATTAGATTACCTGTGTTTTTTTAATTTTTTGCCCTATTAAACAAAAAAATACAATTTTGAGAAAAAAACAATAATTTTGACTTTTTGCTATTAAACATGTCCAGTAAAAAAATTTTCAAAACTCAAATTTCATCATAAATTTAAGCCATGCAAAGCAGTGTGCACGAGCTGACAGGGATGAGAACTGTTTTGTTTACAAACTGTTCTCCTCCCTGTTGGAGATCCTCAGCAATCACCAGGCAGGACCCGGTGATTGACAGCCGTGGCCGCGAATGGCAGAGCAGAGCACTGGTTAAAGCTTGTAGGAGGAGTTTTCTTTCTGCTCTAGGATACAGGACCCCTGATCTCTGTCTGGACAGCGCTGATTGGCCCTGTGCTGATCACATGCACTCTCCCAAGAAAAAAAAAAACCCCTCTCTAGCAATACACACCAAACTGAGCATGTGCAAAGTGACTCCACACGATATGTCTTATCAGGAGATAAGAGGGAGACACTGGAGGAAGGGGAGGATCAGAGAAGTTAGGGTCAAACAGCGTTTTTAAACATTGCAGAGGATTAACTCCTTAGGTTCCACAGTGAGTATAACAAGCGTGCTTTACTGCATATACAGATTTTACTGTTGTGGGTTTAGTAACACTTTAAAGCCTGGTTCATACTAATGAGGTTTTTTTAGTGCTTTTTGCAGAAATGCACTGCAGTCCATTAAACATGGTTTCCTATGGGACACATTCACATCTATGCTTTTTTAAGCCACTGTATTTTTGGAAATGGTCAGGGACCATTTTTAAATGCAAAACATTGCGTTTTTGGTTCAATAGACGTCAGTGGAGACACTGCAGAAAACACATGTAGTGTGTTTTTTTTTTTTTTTTTGTTTATATATTTTTGACACGGTTTGCATTTTTTATTCTGTCCAGCAACAAATTGGCCCCCCCAAAAATGCAAAATGCATCAATAAACGTGTAAAAAAAGGCGCATGCAAAACGGACAAAACGCATACTGCATTGGTGTGAAGCAGACGTTACACAGAAGATATTCTTTCCTGATGTTCCTTCACTAAAGTCAATCAGACAATATATAGAGCTGCAGAATTTATTGGGGATACAGAAAAGAACCCCGTAAACCCCAGTGCAGTCACACATTCCTTCTGCAACTAAGCAGCCAGCACTGAGACAGAACAAACTGAATACAAAAAAGCTTCCTGTTTACTCATTGATGTTGTGCAATGTAAATGATTGTGTGAATTTGTCAGAGCAACAGCTGCTTTCAAAGGTCAGGAAGCTAAACACCTGTGTGATTGGACAGCGATGGAAGCAGCCCTTCCTGGACTCACCACAGTACCAGACACTAGTTTCTGGCAGTGAACTGGATTCATTTAATCACCCCAGAACTAGCAGGATACACATAAGGCTGCTTCCATCAGAGGCTCATTACACAGGTGTTTGCATTTCAATAGATTCTGTCCAAGAAATAGGGACGTTTTAAAGCAGAAACCAACATAGATCAACTTTGTTTTTACCATAATGTTCTGCTCCAGGTCTCTGAAATATTGCCATTCCACCTCCGGGTCCTGGTTTTATGGCAGTTAATCCTCACCAACCAAAATACTCCAAAAAATATGTGCACCGCACTCCGATATCTTTCACCTTTTGACATTTTTCACCCTCTGTAGGGCTTACTCACTAACGTGTCAGAGGGCTGGTGATGGGACATCTTTTGAAATAAATGAGTGGATGATACTGAAGTGCAGGGCATAGATAACACTGTTCAACAAATTTTTATTTTTTGCCAGTTTTGGAAACAAAAGGATCCATTTCTTAATGAATTTCACATTCTGAGTTCAAATATAACAATGAAATTTGTCAATTGGCTCTAGTTTTTCTGTAAACGGAAAGTTTTCTACTATAGGCGTAATGACTACATAATGCACAATAATTATATAGATAGATGTCTTTCCACAAATATAAAGCAAGTGATATTGACTACATAACAAACCCTAATGGCATAATATATTGCATAGGATTACCAAGAAAAATTATAGCCATAAGCTAAGTTGAATCATTTTAATACTTAGGATTCTCACTAGTTTTGTCTTCAGTTTGTGTCGGTTTTGCTTCTCTTGGCTTTTCTCTTGTATTCGAGGAAAGGGCTATCTCTTACAACTGCACGTGACTACACGCTTCAGGTTCTTCCTCACTTGACTCAACCACAAAGGATTCTGGTGCTTTAGGAATTGGTAGCTCCTCTCCATGAGGAACTGGACGTATTGCCGATGGAATATTTGGATAGTGCACAGATAACATTTTCTTTATTTAGCCCTTTTACAATTGGAGGCACCATACAAAAGTAACAATTACTAACATGATCTGTTGGCTCTCTCCAAATCATTGGCACAGCGAAAGGCATAGATGCCTTTTTTCCATTCAACCATTGCTCCAGTGCCGTCCCACAAGAATTGCAGCATATATGTGGTGCCCAGCTCTTGTCCTGGTCTCCTATCTTGCAGCCAAAATACAAGTTGTAGGCTTTCTTAATCATTCCTGTTATCCTCCTTTTTTGTGAGATAAAAGTTATTTCACCGCAGATATAGCAGAAATTATCTGCTTTATTCACACAAGTTCGAGGCATTACTGAGTAGCCTATATAAGCATAAAACGAAATGTAAAGACGCTGTCCAACTACAATCAGCTACAGATACTACAGCTTTTATGCAGTGAAGTGATGCAATTAAAGGCTAATATTGCATCATCTCAGTATACATGCAATTTTCTTTTGGTCACCAGTATCAATTGCGCAATATGCAGCTGAAGTTGCATCATAATTTTGAATGGCTTACGTCATTAGATGGGTGAATATATCATGGAAACTAGAGCCAATCAACATTTTTTAGGGTCATTTTCGTTTTCAGCACCCCAAAATTATGTAAGATTAGCTAATTTTATGCCCAAAACTTTTTACCTGTTGAACAGTGATAATCATTGTTTAACATATAGGATCAGGTTTGGATGTTATATTGAGGTTAAGACCTCATTACTGTCAGTGGCGTCCCGAGGCAGGTAAGGGGGGTGCGCACTGCACGGGGTGACACCTACCACACGGGGTGACACCAGAGGCGCTCCACAAAAAGGTACGTTGTAAAGCAAGCCGACAATTCCCGCAGGATGGATCTGATCCATTCTACGGGGATCGTCGGCTTTCTTTAAAACTTACCTTTCTGTGGAGCGGGTCCGGTGTCAACCCGTATAACTTGCATGCTGACGATCCCTGCAGGATGGATGGGATCTGCGGATTGGGGAGTATAATGGATCGGACTCCGATCCATTATGTTCAATCCGCAGATCTGAACCATCCTGCGGGGATCGTCGGCATGCAACCTATATGGGGATGACACCGGACCCGCTCCACGGAAAGATAAGTTGTAAAGAAAGCCGACGATCCCCGCAGGATGGATCAGATCCATTCTACGGGGATCGTCGGCTTTCTTTACAACTTACCTGTCTGTGGAGCGGGTCCAGTGTCAACCCGTATAAGTTGCATGCCGACGATCCCCGCAGGATGGTTGGGATCTGTGGATTGGAGAGCATAATGGATCGGACTGCGATCCATTATGTTCAATCCGCAGATCCAAACCATCCTGCGGGGATCGTTGGAGTGGGTGTCACCAAGTGTTACTGCACTGCGTGACACCAACCCTAGGGACGCCCCTGACTACTGTAATATCAAAGTGGCAGATTACGGCAATAAAATATATGGGAGATTAATTGTTTTTAAAGGTGCAGATTCCAGGGTTGTGATCCTCCAGCTACTCGATGGGTTGATGACCTGGAAAAATCAGGCAGAGAGAAGTCCAAAAGGTATGAGCTCCTGCACCTCATGCTTGTTCCAGGTCAGAGACTCACCAGGTATTAAAGACAGGGTAAGGGTTAGTTTGCACAAACAAAACCAGTCAACAGTGGCAGCTCCTGTGTTTCAATAGTGACAGTTTCCCTTTAAGAATAGCACATGATCTACATTTGTTTCCAGTGGCAGAGCTCTTTAGATCTGTTTTCTGATCTCTGATTACCATGTAATGTAATATATTTGTTTCCCAGGCACTATGTGGAAGCCCTTTATTTTCCTGTGTTCAGTGGTGTTACGCGTTCTTGGTGCTAGCATCGACCATTACCAACCCGAACAGGTTCACCTGTCCTACACTGGTAAGTACCATCCATACAGCTGGCAGATGCCAAAAATAATGCTTTAAAACCGTGCTGTGCGTGGCAATAGTCAGCCAAAGAGGTTTTGTTTAGTGCACGTTACAAAATGAGAGTTTAAAGCAACTTTTTTGCTTTGAAAATGTTTTCAAAAGGTTTCCTGCAAAAGAACACTTATTATTATTAGACACTGAAAAATAAAGAAATCCCTCACAAGAAAAAAACTACCCGGATTTTAGAGGTACCACACCAAGTTATAATAAAAACTCACATCTTTATTAAACAAATATTTATTACAAGAATATTAAAAAGGTTGTAGTTCAAAAGATCAAAACATGAGAGTACTGTTTAAAAACATATGCAGTTATGCATTATTGCAGTAGTTGAGGGTCATATTCCAACCTGGACAATAGGAATATCTCATGTAAATATCACTGATGCATTTCGCTGAACAAAGCCCACTTCCTGGCATACATTTCTAAGGTTACAAATAAAGCCACAATGAGCATCAATACAACAAGGTCAAATAGATCTTACAATCAATACAATACATATCCAATGTATATATAGTACCTGCAGTTAAAGCTCACATTACATGTAGCTTGTGCCCAGAATTAAAGAACTATAGTCGCCACAAAAAGGGTGAAACCCAACCATTAACAAAGGATTGAAGATATATGATACAAAAAGTGAACAAACAGGTATCCTATAAAAATAATAATAAAAAATGGTAGATAAAGAAATAGAGGGAGAAGGGGACTTTGAAAAAGCTTACATACTAGTATATGAGATCTCCAAACATGGAGACCCCCTTCAGGTGATGGGCTATAAAACACTAAAAAGTACTATATAATGGGGGCTTTTACATAATCATTGCTGTAATAGCCCAGGGACCTCTGATCTACACCCCTACTGCCCACATGTTATTATTATTATACAGGATGTTTATAGTGAAAGCAGTTTCTGCAGTGTTTTACAGCATGAAGGCAGCTAGCTATGGGGGCATCTGCTGCTCCGTTCACGGATCCGTGGCTTGGCCCCACTCCTCTCTCTCCTCATTGGCTGACTGGCTGTGATTGACAGCAGTGGGAGCCAATGGCTCCTGCTTGCTGTCTCAGCCAATAAGGAGGCAGAAACCCGGATCAGCCGAGGCTGTCATTCACATCGCTGGATTGCGATAAGGCTCAGGTAAGTATTAAGGGACCTGGGGGAGCTGCTGCACGCAAAAGATTTTTTACCTTCATGCATAGAATTCAACCCTAGAGCCTTTAGAGCCACTTTAATCTCAGTATAAATACAGTTGATCTGTGAAGCCCTCAGAGGTTTGTTAGAGAACATTAATGAACAAACAGCATCATGAAGGCCAAGCAACACACCAGACAAGTCAGGGATAAAGTTGTGGAGAAGTTTAAGACAGGGTTAGGTTATAAAAAAAAATATCCCAAGCTTTGAACATCTCACGGAACACTATTCAGTCCATCATCGAAAAATGGAAAGAGTATGGCACAACTGCAAACCTACCAAGACATGGCCGTCCACCTAAACTGACAGGCTGGGCAATGAGAGCAAAAATCAAAGAAGCAGCCAAGAGGCCCATGGTAACTCTGCAGGAGCTGCAGAGATCCACAGGTCAGGCAGGAGAATCTGTTCTCAGGACAACTATCAGTCATGCACTCCACAAATCTGGCCTTTATGGAAGAGTGGCAAGAAGAAAGCCATTGTTGAAAGAAAGCCATAAGAAGTCCCATTTGCAGTTTGCGAGAAGCCATGTGGGGGACACAGCAAAGATGTGGAAGAAGGTGGTGGTGGTCAGATGAGACCAAAATTGAACTTTTTGGCCTACAAGCAAAACGCTATGTGTGGTGGAAAGCTAACACTGCACATCACCCTGAACACACCATCCCCACCTTGAAACATGGCGGTGGCAGCATCATGTTGTGGGGATGCTTTTCTTCAGCAGGGACAGGGAAGCTGGTCAGAGTTGATGGGAAGATGGATGGAGCCAAATACAGGGTGATCTTAAAAGAAAACCTGTTAGTCTGCAAAAGACTTGAGACTGGGGGGGGTTCACCTTCCAGCAGGACATCAACCCTAAACATACAGCCAGAGCTACAATGTAATACAATCAAAGCATGTGCATGTGTTAGAATGGCCCAGTCAAAGTCCAGACCTAAGTCCAATTGAGAATCTGTGGCAAGACTTGGAAATTGCTGTTCAGACACTCTCCATCCAATCTGACAGAACTTGAACTATTTTGCAAAGAAGAATGGGCAAAATTTTCACTCTCTAGATGTGCAAAGCTGGTAGAGACATCCCCAAAAAGACTTGCAACTGTAATTGCAGAGAAAGGTGGTTCTACAAAGTATTGCCTCCGGGGGGCTGAATACAAATGTACGACATACTTTTCACATATTTATTTGTAAAACAAAATTTTGAAAATCATTTATAATTTTCCTTCCACTTCACAATTATGTGCCACTTTGTGTTGGTCTATCACATAAAAATCCCAATAAAATACATTTACGATTTTAGTTGTACCATGACAAAATGTGGAAAATTTCAAGGGGTATGAATACTTCTTCAAGGCACTGTATAGTCAGAGCCGTGCTGTGAGTTGAAAGTTCTGGTTTATCTGTATGGCATGCATTTATAATTATTCATATATACTGTTAATTCCACTAGTGACCCATCGACACCAACTTTATGGTTCATCTCACAATTCCGCAATTGCTAGAACTGGCAGTGGGGGAAGATTTCCTGGCCAGGGTCACAGGCTACAGTAAAGACCCAATGGTTTATCAGATCCTTCTTCACTGTAGGTAGCTGAATTAGACAACTATCCATTTAAACACAACTCTACCTCCCCCCAGGACTCTTACCCCTTCTTTAAACCCTCTCTTCAACAATTCTCATGTCCCCTTTCTAAGCTGACCATACACAAAGTGAATTTTTGGCGGAAGGAGAAACCGCTGCTGAAACTTTTTTTTTTTTTAAACCTTAATGCATAGAATGTATTAGGGCTTGTTTACACTTGCTTCAAAATGTGGCATTGGACACGCTTTTTTAAAGCACTCTGAATACCAGTCAAAGCACCTGTCACTAAATAAAAAGGTTACCTTACAGTCTTGCTCACACATTGCATTTGCTTTGCTTCAAAAAGTATACCTCATGTTGCTTTCATGGTGCTTCAAAGCATCTCTAAAGCCTTCATAAAATCCTATGGCAAAGCTCGCTAACAGCACCTGCAGCTTTCAAGAGGCTTTTATTCAGCTTTAGCTTTGCTTTGTTTTGGGGGTATTGCAGGTATGAGATATCCCAGGATGCACTGGGAAACCAATAAGCAAACCAAAAAAATGGCATCAGCAGTCACTTCTGGTTTATGTGTATATATTGTGGGAGGGCTTGGTGCAGATGTCACATCTGGTGTGCAGCAGGGAGCAGCAGGAAAGTGAGCGGGGTCCGGACTGGAGCGGAGCAACTGGCAGACGGCGCACATAGTGAACAACATGGAAATGCTAAAGCGGAAGCCCTGGACCCTATGAATACGTGCATAGCACGGAACGCGTCAGTGTGGCTATAACAACTGGATGTCTAGCCATTGCTGGTGGCCATCCTGAATACTATATAGTCAGCGTTTTTTACTCACTTTTACTACTGTTATTTTACCGAATTAGATGGAATAAAGTTCCCTACAGAGTCACACTATGTGGTCTCCTTTATTGGCCTCTCTTTACGAGGGTCTGCTTTAAAGGTGACCCTAGAAGGTGACACGCTTCAAGTACCCCTGAACACCCCATGTAGATGTGACCAGATGGTGTATAGGATCCTGACCTGACCTTGGGAAGCAGTTGACCTGATTAATACCTGATGAGACAGGCTATATCTCACACACGCGTTTTTGCGAGTGCGCTATTTACTTACTTCGGTTTACCATCTACCACCTAGGATCAGCTTTCCCCGCGTGTTTATCTGGATCATACGGCATCCTCACGTGGGCTATTACATTTGGGACATTTATACACTGAGATCACCGAATGGTGACACCTCATTTTCTCACTATATATATATGCCTATTTTATGACATCTATTTATGTTGCATATTTCGTTTTAGCGCTGCACCTTTGTATGATTGTGGAAGGTGATCAGGGACCAGAGAGAAAGGACTGAGCAGCAAAGGATCAGCAGAGCTGGCAGACCAGAGCAAGAGATATTAGCAATGTCAATGTGGTGCGCAGCATGGGAGCAATATAGCGAGAGGTGAGCGAGGAACAGAAAGAGAGTAGGATCAGCAAACCAGAGGATCAGCAGAGCTGGGGGTTACTACTGAGCTAGGATCAGCAAAGCTGGGGGTACTACTGAATGGGGCATCAAGAGAGCTGGGATACTAATGAGCAGTGGATCTGCTGAACAAGGGTAGTAGTAAGCTGGAGATCTACTGAAGTAGGGTACCAATTCTGAACAAGGGTACTAAGCAGCTGGGGATCTGTAGAGTGGAGGTACTACTGAGCCGGAGTCCTACTGGGCCCCTTTTAAAATAAATAGAAAAATCAACACACACAGGGTATCTGCCAAGCCTCATTAAAGCTTCAAAAAGCATTACTGAAGCATCACCGTAGCATCAAAAAAACATACTAAAGGGGCTTTAATGTGTGTTGAAGTCGAAGCATGTGTAAATGAGCCCTTATTTAGTGAATGGGCTGTTGATCCCTCCTGCATAACATCATTTGAAAAATTGAAGGAGACAGACTCAATATTGTTGGCTGAACAGTGACTTCATCATTTCGGATGCAGCCGCTGCCAGGGTATTTTGTCAGTCAGTGGCATCAGTTGTCAGACTATAATAGCTGCAGCAGGAAATTTGATCACCTCACCTGTTTAGCATGGAATAGGGTAAGGTATTGGATTTTTTTTTTTTTTTTTTACGCTCAGCCCCTAGCTGAGAGCTGGTGGGGGAATATGATGCATACAAAATTTTAGACTTACATTTTTGTTTTTGTATAGTTGCACTTTGTATATAATCTATATCAATCAATTTATTTCTTACAGGCCAGCCAGCATCTATAACAGTGACCTGGACGACCTTCAGTTGGACTCCATCTATGGTAGAGTTCAGTCCTCTTCCAGGACCACCTTTATTTAACCTCACAGCTTATGGTGAGACAACCTTATTCGTGGATGGAGGACCGATGAAGCGGAAAATGTATATCCATCGGGTTACCCTGAAGAACCTGATTCCTAGCCAGAGATATGGTGAGACCTGGGCCCTTCTTAGACACCGTGGTGCTTGAGGCACTTTTGTATGATGATGCCTCTTTGTACAAGCTCTGCCCCTTGTGTCACTATTACTTAAAGCAGAGCTCCAGTTATTTGATTTTTTTTTACCATGCAGTGGGGCTGTGCCCCCGCTGCATGGATCAGCTGCTAATTTTTTTCTAGGGGTGAGGACTAAGCTTATACCTGACCCACTGATCCTGCAGAAAACTACGCTCCCCCATGGACTGTTCCTGTCTGTGGAACACGTGCATGTGGGGTGGTGGGAAGGAGCCGCAGGAGCCCGAAAGGACCGGTCTTCTGTGGGGAGATTGGACAGGGGAGGTGAGTATATCTTCGGTGTCCTCTCCCCTAAAACATATCGAACATTTAACCCGTACAGTTGCGGGCACAGCAGGATTTCTGCTAAAAAGGAAAAGTACAGCCACAGCTCTTTTGGCTGCACTTGTGTGGATCACAGGAGTGCAGTTTGTTCTGCACTCCTGTGACTCGTTTTCAGCTAATGTCACTCAGCTGCTCCAGGGTGGGGAAAGATCCCTACTTTAAAGTTGAAATCCACTCGAGTCAGGAGCAGCGCCTGGCTCAGCCTTTCAGCGATCCGCTGAGAGCCTGAGCTAGCCGATCCCTCGCTCTCCACAGCCCAGCGCTACAGTGAGCGGAGCAACTGTGAGAACTCAACAGTCATGTGATCGCTGAGTTCTCACCCTTCTCCAGCTAGGTAAGTATAATTTAAAAAAAAAATAACATTTCCCATACTTTTAAGTGTAAAAGTGCTGCACAGTTGGAAGCACCATGAAGTCTACTTTATACTTCATATAGACCACTAAATAAGGGTAATGAGAAATGGGTTCATGTTTCTTGAACCGTAAGGAGTCTTGTGACTATTTTGAACATCTCTTTTTCCCTGCAGTTCATTTTCTGAATTAAATAACAAAGGAGGCCTTAAGAAAAGCAAAATAAGGAACAAGCTATCAGAGTGTAAATTTCAAGTCTTTGTGCTGCCCCATAAAACTCTGGCCCACAAGTGTCATTATAGTAAATACAGCTGTAGTAGACACATACTCACAATCTGCCCTATTGCTGCCTTTACCCATATTCCATAGAATACATTTGCCTAAACCTTCATCAGGATCTTATATGGGTAAAATCTGTGGGGGGACAAAAAGACAAACGTTGACCCCTCTGCTACCTGAGTGAGTAGGGCACATCTGTTTTTAAGAACATTGCCTTGCTGCCATTTATTCCATTTTTTTTCTTTGTTTCTCAGTTTACCACTGTGGCAGTTCACTTGGCTGGAGCCCTCAGTTTTATTTCCGGGCCCTTCGTAATGACCCATCATGGGGCCCACACTTGGCTGTGTTTGGAGATATGGGGAATGAGAATGCGAAGTCACTATCTCGGCTCCAGAAGGAAACCCAGATGGACATGTATGACGCCATACTCCATGTGGGTAAGTAAGATTTGGGGGGTTTTCATGAAGGTGTGTGGGGAGCTGTGTCTGTAGAGTGCAGTAGACTATGAACATGGAGTGTAGCAGATTGTGAGAATAGGAATCAGTGGGCTGTACAGGGGATAATGTAGAAGAATGGGGTCAATTGTCAGGGCAGATGTAGAGAGGACTTTGAGTGTAGAGTGCAGTAGACATTTAGAGGAAAAAAAATTAATACTGATCAGGAGCAGATTTAAGCCTTCTGTGCACCTAGGACAGCTGGGACGCCATTCTCCCCCCATTCTGCAGTTGACTGTATTGTTCACGCTATAACTTTTTAAAGACTAACATCACGTTTTGGAACATGTTATGCTTTACACATGTATTTACTCTGGTCCTGGGATCCTGACAAAACTGTCAGGATTCCCCAAGATGCCTAACTGGCAGCTGGCTCAGCCTCTCAGCGCGCTGTGTGAGCCTGAGCCAGCTGCTCCCATCCCCTCCACATCCCAATGCTCCAGTGAGGGGGGCAGAGCAGAGAGCCAGTGACTAACCGTTACCGCTGTGTCTGCTTAGAGTGGACCCAGCAGAAGAAAACACACAGAGGCGGATTGTGGTGAACTGAGTATATATTGAAACATTTCAACAAGATACAATCAGGTCTGGTGGGGGAGCACAGCCATCTGGAGCCAAATGCAAAACTCACAGCAGTGGTCCAGAGCGATGCTGACAGTGTCTGCAAGGAGATGTGGAAAAGAGCGGCCTGGTTGGTCCAACCTAAATGGGAAGCTACTGTGGTGAGGAAGGCATGTCCCTGCACTTTCCCTATTCCTCTGGAACTTTTCTCTGCTGCTAAATGCTTCTTTAGCAAGTGATGAACCTGTCCCCACTCTAGCCACTTGCAGAATGCATACCAATTCAGGGGGGCAGGGACTTAAATAAGCTCTGTCCTCACCCAACATGATCATAGGCTCACTAGGGAACCAGCGTCCAATCAGACAGTTGCTCCCACAGGAAATGATAAAGGAACTATGTTCCCCAGGACATCCTTTCCCTGCTGCACTGCCGCTTTGGGTAGAGTGCCACCTACAGTGGGGAGTACAGACTGCACCTGCCTACAAGCGGTCTTTGGTCACTCAGTTCTCGATTATTGCTGCAGCCATCTACAGTAGGTGAGTATAAATGGTTTTTTTTTTCAGTTCCTGCACTTCTCTTTTAAGCTTCACAATAGGTGCCATAGGTGCCAGAATGAAGTAACTTCTGTGAGCATGCAAGGGAGTTTATCCTGGGCCAGCCAATCAAAATGGCTGAAGACCCCAGACCTAGAAGAAGACTAGGTAAGAATGTCAGTGCTAGTGACACACCAAAGAGGAAGAATGTGGAGGAGGGCACTTTAGGTGGCAAGTCTTCCACTGTATGCAAGTATGCTGTTCATATGGACCTATGCGTTCGGTTCTGCTTTAAAGCTGCAACAAGGAGAGGCTGGCCAAGCAACACACAAAGCACATATGTAAAGCACACTACTGTGCTTTGTAAATCTGTGTTTTGTGGTTTGTTTTTTTTAACAGAAGTCTGGCCATGTAAAAGGCTACACTGCTTTATATAAGCCCCAGTCTGGCCATGTAAAAGGCTACACTGCCTTATAAAAAGCCCCCAATGGCGTTGTCAGTGTAGAGTGCAGTAGAGTGTAAGTGACATGTACAATGGAGTGTCTATGACGAATATTGTCTAGTGTATTCAATAATGGGTGATGTTAATGCATATCCCGTATTATATAGAATGCTTTGTATAGTAGATCTTGTATCAGCTGTATGATTCAGTTTTCCAACGTGGGTCATGTATATGCATCAACTCTTTTTTTTTTTTTTTTTTTTTTTATTATCTTTCTTATGCAGGCGATTTTGCATATGATATGGATAAGGTAAAATATGTTCATGTTTTAATATTTCCCATTGCCCAGCCATTATGCAATGAACAAGCTTTTACAATTACCATCCACTATACTCTTGTTGTTTCCTGTGCTATACTTCTCTTATTGCTGTCATGTCTGTCATTTTCACCTATTTATTATTTCATGTGTGCCACAAAGGGTTAGGGTAATATGTTAATGCTTTGTAAATAAAAAAATAATAATAGCTGCATTATTAATGATAAAAAAATCAACAGTCATCTTCTTTCTTAAAGGATAATGCTCAGGTGGGTGACGAGTTTATGCGCCAGATTGAGTCAGTGGCTGCCTATGTTCCCTATATGACCTGTCCTGGAAACCATGAAGAGGCCTAGTAAGTGCGATTTCTTGTTTCCAGAAGTGACATTTAGTGAAATGCAGACCTGTCCTTTGTTTAACATGGTACTGTTTTGACTATTTGTTCTGCAGCACAAAAAATATAATTATTTTGAACAGTAAATCTTCCAATTCTTAAAACCTAGTTACACCCTTATGATTTATTAATGTAATAGAGCCAGACAGCATATACAGTAATAAATCTAAGCTTTTATACAAAACAAAAAGTTTTATTGCTAAGAAGTTGACAGATTTGGCCCAAAGGCCACATAATAGCTGATCACAAGTTATGTACATAGAGACACTAGAGTTCGTTCTGTTGCTCTTTTAAAACTGATAAGCATTGTAGCAAAGGGTAAATACCCCACGCTGTATCAATTTTGGATAGTCGGACCGCCGCTCTCTCACATAAAGCATTGTCCCAGATTTCCTGCAATCCAACCCGACTCCCCTGAACAGTGCGTTAATAAACAGTGCTTCTCATGTAGTGAGACTGCTGTTGATTTATACACTGTTCAAGGCTAGAGATGCTGTCCAAAGCTCCAGATTGCTTCAGCATAGGGTATTTTAACTCTGGTTGCAATACAGCAATTGTGAGGATTCAATTAGGTCAGTAGTAACCCCCTTCTCTGCTGATCCTCCTGTCTCTTTGGTCCCCTCTCACCACCTGCTGCATTGCTCGCATGCCTCACAACATGTGACATCTGCTAGTTTCTCCTGCTCCGGTCCCCCAGCTCTGCTGATCCTCTGCTGCTCAGTCCTCTGTCTCTCTGGTCCCCACTCGCCTTCCGCTATAGTGTTCCCACATTGTATACAGTGGGGCAAAAAAGTATTTAGTCAGCCACTAATTGTGCAAGTTTTCCCACTTAAAAAGATGAGAGAGGCCTGTAATTGGCATCATAGGTAGACCTCAACTATGAGAGACAAAATGAGAAAAAAAAATCCAGACAATCACATTGGCTGATTTGGAAAGAATTTATTTGCAAATTATGGTGGAAAATAAGTATTTGGTCAATATCAAAAGTTCATCTCAATACTTTGTTATATATCCTTTGGCAATGACAGAGGTCAAACGTTTCCTGTAAGTCTTCACAAGGTTGGCACACACTGTTGCTGGTATGTTGGCCCATTTCTCCATGCAGATCTCCTCTAGAGCAGTGATGTTTTGGGGCTGTTGCTGGGCAACACGGACTTTCAACTCCCTCCAAAGGTTTTCTATGGGGTTGAGATCTGGAGACTGGCTAGGCCACTCCAGGACCTTGAAATGCTTCTTACGAAGCCACACCTTCGTTGCCCCGGCGGTATGTTTGGGATCATTGTCATGTTGGAAGACTCAGCCACGTTTCAGCTTCAATGCTCTTGCTGATGGAAGGAGGTTTGCACTCAAAATCGCAGGATACATGGCCCCATTCATTCTGTCCTGTACATGGATCAGTCGTCCTGGTCCCTTTGTGGAGAAACAGCCCCAAAGCATGATGTTGCCACCCCCATGCTTTACAGTAGGTATGGTGTTCTTTGGATGCAACTCAGCATTCTCTCTCCTCCAAACACGACGAGTTGTGTTTCTACCAAACAGTTCTATTTTGGTTTCATCTGACCATATGACATTCTCCCAATCCTCTTCTGGATCATCCAAATGCTCTCTAGCAAACTTCAGATGGGCCCGCACATGTACTGGCTTAAGCAGGGGGACACGTCTGGCACTGCAGGATCTGAGTCCCTGGCGGCGTAGTGTGTTACTAATGGTAGCCTTTGTTACGTTGGTCCCAGCTCTCTGCAGGTCATTCACTAGGTCCCCCCCGTGTGGTCCTGGGATTTTTGCTCACTGTTCTTGTGATCATTTTGACCCCACGGGGTGAGATCTTGCGTGGAGCCCCAGATTGAGGGAGATTATCAGTGGTCTTGTATGTCTTCCATTTTCTAATTATTGCTCCCACAGTTGACTTGTTAACACCAAGCTGCTTGCCTATTGCAGATTCAGTCTTCCCAGCCTAGTGCAGGTCTACAAATTTGTTTCTGGTGTCCTTCGACAGCTCTTTGGTCTTCACTATAGTGGAGTTTGGAGTGTGACTGTTTGAGGTTGTGGACAGGTGTCTTTTATACTGATAAGTTCAAACAGGTGCCATTGATACAGGTAATGAGTGCAGGACAGAGGAGCCTCTTAAAGAAGAAGGTACAGGTCTGTGAGAGCCAGAAATCTTGCTTGTTTGTAGGTGACCAAATACTTATTTTCCACCATAATTTGCAAATAAATTCTTTCCAAATCAGCCAATGTGATTGTCTGGATTTTTTTTCTAATTTTGTCTCTCATAGTTGAGGTCTACCTATGATGCCAATTACAGGCCTCTCTCATCTTTTTAAGTGGGAGAACTTGCACAATTGGTGGCTGACTAAATACTTTTTTGCCCCACTGTACCATGTGCGCTGTCTGCTAGTTTCTCTGCTCCAGTCTGGACCCCGTTTACCTTCCTACTGCTCCACGCTGCACACCATAGATGTGACGTTTGCTCCAGACACTTCCAGAATATATACACATAAGAACCAGAAGTGACTTCTGATGACGTCATTCTGATTCACTTGTTGGTTTCCCAGTGCATCCTGGGATATCTCATACCAGCAATTCCCCCAAAACTAAGTGAAGCTAAAGCTGAATAGCCTCTCAAAAGCTGCAGGTGCTGTTAGTGAGCATTGTGATAGACTGTGGAGGCTTTGGAAATGCTTTGAAGCACCATGAAAGCAACATGAGGTATAATATTTGAAGTGAAGCAAACGCAATGTGTGACCAGGACTGTAAGGTAACCATTTTATTATGTGACAGGAGCTTTGATTGGCATTCAGAGTGCTTTAAAAACGAGTGTCAAATTACACATTTTGAAGCAAGTATAAAGGAGTCCTAATACATTCTATGCATTATGGTAAAAAAAATACTTTCAGCAGCTGTTTCTTGCTCCTCCCTTCCCCAAGTACTTCCCTGGGTATTGCATCGATCCAGCACTGTGCCCATCTGCAGGTCTTCTCTCCCGTCTTTCACAGGCTTGGCTGAGAGTAGCAGGAGCCATGGGCTCCTGCTGCTGTCTATCAAAGCCAGTGAAGGGGCAGAGTTGAGCCGGGCTGTGTGTGTATATAGACACACACAGCCGAGCTTTGGAGTGAGCCTGCACAATTATCACCATAGGAAGCGGTTTCCTATGGTGGCACAGGGAGAAGAGGAGGAGCCCAGATTGCCTCCGGGGGACCACAGAAGAGGAAGATCGGGGGTGTTCTACCAGTGCACAGAGCAGGTAAGTATACCATATACTGTATGTTATTTAAGAAAACTAAAATTTTTACTTTACAATCACTTTAAAAGATCTGACAATAGCCTATTAAAACAGCAGTTTTTGTCACCTTTTTGTTTTTCAGCAACTTTTCCAATTATCGCATGCGGTTCACCATGCCAGGAGACACAGAGGGCCTGTGGTACAGGTAGGGAAACACTAGGTAGAAATGACACATTGATGCATGAAATTAACATGTGACCTTAAAGAATATGTAAACCCAACATTTCATATTCCTGATATACGCCTGCAGTATTATGTACTTGTATGAAAAAAAGTCTCCTATTCTTTCTACTGTTTCCTTTGTGTGAAATGCCTGGTGATCCTGCCAGTTCCTGTGCTTTCCTATTAAAAACTCACTATACTAGGCACGAGAGCACAGTGTGGTTAGTTCTGTAGCTGTGCTGGGAACTCAGCCTGCTCTCCTCCAATGGTCAGACTACTTGTGCTGACACCCCCCCTTCCCTACACAGCCATTTAGGAAGATCAGTGTACCGCTGTTACCCCTCTCCAAGTTCTCTGTTCTCAGTTGCATAAGGAACTTAGATGGTATGTGATCACTTATAAAACAGGGGGAAAAAAGGTATATAAAAGGTTTATTTTTATCTATACACGTTTTGCCATTCATTTCTATTTTAAACTGAATTGGTTGTTTTACAAGGTGAGGCTTTACATATACTTTAACATTTATACATCATTCTCTCTCCAGCTGGGATCTTGGACCTGCTCATATTATCTCGTTCTCTACAGAGGTTTATTTCTACCTGAAATATGGCGAAGAATTGGTGGCAAAGCAGTTTAACTGGCTACAAAGGGATCTTCAGGTTAGATGCACAGTGTTGGTCTTCAGTCTCCATCCATGTCATAGATTATAGTCTTGTTTTTACAATGCGTACTTTCTGGATCATGCTTTGAGTAGACGTGTATGGATTGTTTTTGAAGAATAAAGATATCTTTTAGTGTAACTTTAAAGGCACATTCAGGTCAGATGCAATAATATTTTTCAATTTAGAACTCAACTCCAGCCACAACTTTTGATTTGTTTAGGGTGCAGCAGGGCAGAGTCTTTATTGCCATCTGTAGCCCTATTGTGCTCCTGTTCAAAACTGTGAGTGTTCGGCTACTGAACGCTGGTTTCTATGGAGAATAGTAACTTCTCATCACTAATAGCTCTCAATGCAGCCTTGACTTTACAAAATACCAATTCTTGGCCCTGATGAAGGGAGACTTTTGTAGCTCCAGAAACGTGTTGGCCATAGTGGAAATTTTCTAGTGGCTTGGTTCTTCTGTCATTTCTTATCTTTGAGTAGTGTAGTCAGTCTTCACAGCAAAGGTGAAGTACTATTACTGTTAGATGTATTACCATGATCTGGGCCAAATATCCCTAATTAGGGCTGGATTACCGTCACTTGAGCCTGTAGGCACCCAAGCCTTTGGTGCCCAAAGCATAAATATGTGATAAATAATGTTCAACCTTCCTCTTTTTTAGGAGGCCACCAGCAAGGCTCGTCGTTCTGAGCGCCCATGGATCATAACAATGGCTCACCGTCCTATGTATTGCACCAATTTTAACAGTGATGACTGTGCCCAAGTTAACAGCACGGTGAGTGGAATATCCAAGCTTTTTAGAAGTCACAATTCCAGGAGGCCATGAACCTGGACATTTTCCTCCACCTTCCCAGATTGATTTGAGTTCAGAACATCTATCAGGTTTTTCTCTTTCAAATTATTATTGAAATGTTTTAAGGAACACAGTGTGGAACACAGTAACAGTTGTACGTTAAGTAAAGGAATCATCTCTCAGGTTTTTATTGCTGTCTGTGCCCCCATTAGGGAGATTCACCCTCTTTGTTTCCCATGTTTACTATTATTACTGAGAGGGAAAATCCCAAATTTGTGGCTGTCACCAGAACAGGAATAGAGAGGAAAACCTTCCAATGGGTACACTGGTGACAACCAAGGATTCCTTCACTTTGAAGGGACTTCCTTTCGCCTCCTGTTTTGAAGGGAAATTTCATTGAAGGGACACAGATTGGAAAAAAAATGGACAGGGGTCATAACCCTCCCTCAGTCTATCGAAAATTAAAAAGCTTTCTCTTTAGTTCTATTTTAAAGGACTATCTAAATGGTTACAAATTGAATGGATCGTTAAAGCAAGGGTACATACGGATGGAAATTCAGTAGTTTCAGCAGGGACCAGACGAATTTTGATCTGTGTGTATGTGTGGCCCTTTCTGTTTTGCCAGAAACCAGGCATTTGATCGATCCTGCTGGGAAACCTTCTTCAAACAGTGGCTTGCAGCCAATTGGTTGCAGCACTGATCAGTGTATTCTGACAGTGGAGAGTTCCCGCTTTCAGAAAACAATGTCCCGGTCAGGGTGAATCCTTCATCAACATTGCTTGTGTGGATGGAAGAATTATTTTTTTTTTTAATTCAGCCAGAAGGCTGAACAAAAAAAAACAGTTTATGCATCCAGTTTTAGGTAGGACATAGTCCAAAAGAGATTTAACAGCTGAAGGTGTAACCAACTTGTTCACAACATCACATGTGTGAAAAACAATTGGCATCCAACCTATTAGCAATGGAGAAAGTCTTTTTATTTTTGTTGTGAATATTCTGACACCATGAATTTTATGGAGTACAATGTCTCAGGGCCCAACACACCAGTGGGCTTGCATTTTTGCCTGTATAACATAATTACTCTGGAATGTGTTGTGTAAGGCTAATGCAATGCACTATTACAACACATCACAGTGTTTACTTATTTTTTTCACATCAAAGGTATCAAAAAAACACATTTAACTTTGTGAACCATTGACTTTACAGACATGCTGCATTTTTATGGAATGCACACCATTGCCCGTGTATGGTGTTATCAGGGTATAAAAAAAACAATTGTTTACTATGTGCCCTTGCGCTGAGCCTCAGTGCACCTGGTGTGAACAAGCCTTCAAAGTTTGTGTAAAAAAAGATGTATCTTAGTGAATTGAATTAGGCCTCATGCACACTGGGAGTTTAGAACTGGTTCATGTTGTTCCATTGTTTAGCTGCAGGAAGAAGGCACAGATGTTCCATTCAGCCCTGCTGCTGGCAACCTCTCAAACACTATGAGAGGATGACCACTGCTGTGGCTGGATGGGACTTTGTGATGTACAAACATTTAGGGCAGAATGTGTTAAGAATGCTAGAAGTCTGTCCCTGGGAACATGTTGCCCTAAAGGTTTGTATCACTAGGTTTCACAGTCCAGTCCCATCTAGCCACAGCAGTTGTCAGCCTCTCATAGAGTTTGTCAGGTTGCCGACCGTGGGACAAGATGGGACACCTGTGCTCTCTCTCCTGCCACTGAATGCTTGATCCCCATATGCCGGTGTTAAGTGCGCATGGGGACTTAAACAAAAGTTCTGCAGGTGCTTTGGATTATGTGGGAATTATGTTGCATATCATTATATTTCTGAGTTACCTTTTCTCTTGTACGTCATATTGTCTCCATTGCTGATAAGTTATCTTGCTGTGTGTGCTCTGTTTTTCAGACACGTACTGGGCTACCAGGAGGCCAGTATGCACTGGAGGATTTGTTCTATAAATATGGTAGGTGCCGCTTGATTTAAAACATCACCTATTTAATATAGCCTCTATAAGTGTGCTAGTATAAATCAGTCTAAAAATTACATAATTCTATAAACCAAAATGTGAATGTAAATGCAATACAATGTAAATAGTCTAACACAGTGTTTCTCAACCTTTTTTTCACTCAAGGCACCTTTTAAAATTATGGACAGTCCTAAAGGCACCCTTTAAAATCATGGACAGTCTTGAGGCACCCCATTTTAAAATGGGGTGCCTCTAGAGCAGTGGTTCTTAACCTTGTTGGAGGTACTGAACCCCACCAGTTTCATATGCGCATTCACCGAACCCTTCTTAATTGGAAAAATAAAATATGATTTTTAAAATTAAAAACATAGGTATATATTTAGGTATATATTTATACATAGGTGCACAAAATGAACAAAACCGTTAAGAACAAAGAACAAAACCATTAAAACATGATTTTCACACAAAACAAAAACATAATAATGAATATTTACTGCACGAATCATATGAGTCGGGTGTGGGTCTTCACCTCCGCCGAACCCGCGAGACTGACTCACCGAACCCCTGGGGTTCGATCGAACCCAGGTTAAGAACCACTGCTCTAGAGTCTCTAGACTGCCCAAAATGTTAAAAGGGCACCCCATTCTAAAATGTGAAAAACTATTCTAATAGTTTTTATATACCGCAGCAACAGCCACACACATAGGACACCCAACATTGGAGGTGATTTATTCTTCCAAAGAAAATACACTTTTGCACACTGGTACTGACTAGTATTTCAGTGTTCCTGTTCCCCCTCAGTTTTTCTCCATCACTGAGCTAATGTGACCCCAGCTCTGATGGAGAGGGGTAGGGGAGGGTCAAGCTAGAATGCTGTGCAGGCAGCTGATATCCTCCTTATCCACTGATGATGTCACTGGTTGTCAGGCCGCCGGCTAGAAGGTCGTAATGGTGCACAATGGAAACCTCTGGCTTTGTGTAGCTAAAAGACAGGCTTGTTCCACCCACTGGATTGTATACAAGTTTGGGGCAATTTTTAGACATTTTGCCAAGGCACCCCTGAAGAAAACCCAAGGCACCCTAGGGTGCCTGGGCACCCTGGTTGAGAAAGGCTGGTCTAACATTTCTTCCAGTCATTCCACCATCAGGTTATATGAGACACCTTCAGTGCACTACTACAACCAAAGTGATTACAGTGTTACACTGCTGCTTACCAGGATGAAGGATCTCAATAACATGAGATCTACACTCGCTTGGCTATCTAACAGCTACGGTATAATTCTGGCCCAGCAACCACCAACCAATGTCCAGATGGAAAGCCAGTATACACAACACCTCTTTGGCTCCCCAACACCCAGCAATTACCAATGAGATAAAGAAGCAGGGCAAAACTCATAGTGTAGTAATAAAGGTTCCAAGTTTATTTAAATACAGAGCTGCTCACAATATACAGAACCTGCAGGCATCTGCATTAAGGACATTTGTATCTGAAAGTAGAACATCACCGTGACTCTTGCTGATGCACGTGATGACACCATGGATCAGAGGCACTGCCTCTTTGTTCTCAACAGGCATCATCAGGGAAAGGAGGCCTCCTTTTCCAGAGGTGGACTCCGGAATCACGGCACCATTTTACTTTTATTCTATGGTGTCATTCACCATTTTTACCAATCGAAATGCATTGGATTAACCTTCAGAACACTTGAATTATTTTTGGTGTCAATTCAGGAAGGTACTGGAAATGCTTCTATTTAGGTCCATGCTGACCTGATAGAAACATTTAGACTGTGACCCCCCCCTGATCTGCCTCATCTTTAAAGATTCATATTCTATATGCCATTCTGACTCTACCATCTGCACTTTATAGCAGATATTGGGATTGTTTCAGATTAGGCAAAGCTTTTGTAATCTTTAGTTATCCATTTCCTAGTGTAGTCTCATTACTGTTCTTAGCTGGCAAAGGTAGAATTTAATGTGGTCATCTACTGCTGTAGGGCCTGAAGCCTCTGTAAGGTGCCATGTTTTATGTATTTAGAGGTAACCTGGTGATGCAATTGTTGTAATGAATGGTTGTTGACTTCCTGTCAGGTTGAACAAGTCTACCTATTCCTCTCTAACCTGCTGAATGTAAGTCCATTACCAGACAAAATTTTGTTATTTTGTTATCGGTAGAGCAGGAAGGGGTATATTGCTTTCTGTGTTCTATTGGGGAAATTTCCCCTTATACCCTGTCATAGCAGGAAGTGGTGGAAAATCACTCTGATGGGACAAAAACCCTTTTTAAGAACAGCAAGGAAGAATTAAAACAATGTTTAAGGGTCAATGCACACTGGCTTAAATGACGCCATTGCTTTTGGATTAAAAAACGCAAATTTTGAGTATTTTTTTGTACTAGCATTTATCAGTTTTTAGGAGCATTTAGTGATCTTTTCTGCCAGAAAACCGCTCTCAAAAACGAAAACAGAAGGGTTTTTCTGCCTCTAAACACTGAGCTTAAAATATGCCTCTAAATGACCTAATGTGCATGGGCATATGGGATAACATTAGTTGCTTCTACAGGCAAAACGCTAAACTCCTCCAGGAGCAGTGTTTTTTTTTTTTTTTAAGCCAGTGTGCATGGACCCTTTCTGTTGTCTATGGCTTCCTGTCCCAGTGACCACTGCACCCCACATTTCTTGTATAGGCATTACAGGGACAGGAAGCAGCCAAGATTATGCACCTTTCACATGCCAATGTTTGGTCAACAACTGAACTTCTTCATTACGTTTTGAAATTCTTTACGCTTTGAGCTACAGCCACAATTCATGGTTTGGCTGTTTGCTGAAAGCAGGTTTACCTGATAAAGTGGACACTGATTCCCAGTCTGCAGTGCAGGAACAGAACAGGTATGCATTTAAAGATAATCAGTTACCTGTGCCTCTACTTTCAGGGGTGGATCTGGAAATCTGGGCACATGAACATTCCTTTGAGAGGCTCTGGCCTGTGTATAACCGCAGGGTAAGTACACCAAACTTCAGTTCTGAGCCCATAGTACAGCAATTCTTAACTAGGGTTCCTCTAGAGATTGCTATAGGGTTGCTGAGCTGTGGTTGATTGACCTCCCATTTGATGGTAACTGCATAGTTCCCAGTCCAATGCCGCTTGGCAGGGCCAGTGTCATAACATGATTTTTTTTTTTTAGCTATCTGTATGGGTGGCATTCTGACCACCACTGTAAGAGGGGGGCATTCTCCCCACTTTAAGGGGCATTCTTCCCACTGACCACCAATGTAAGAAGCATTTTTATCCATTGACCACCAATGTAAGGGGCATTCTTCCGACTGACCACCAATGTAAGAGGCAATTTTACCCAATGACCACCAATACAAGGAGCATCCTTCCCCCTAACCACCAATGTAAGTGGCATCCTCCCCGCTAACTACCAATGTAAGGGGCATCCTTCCCCCTAACCACCAATGTAAGGGGCATTCCTCACAGTGACCACCAATGTAAGGGGCATTCCTCACAGTGACCACCAATGAATTATTTTATCAGGGATTCCATAAGTCCTAATAATTATTCCACAGGTTTCTCTGCAATAAAGAGGTTGTGAAAGGCATGTCAATGTACTAGGGCAGCCTATTTCATATATAGAACTAGAAAATACATTGGGCTTGATAAACTATTCGTAGCACAGAGACAGGAAAATTATGTGCAAAATTTTCATTCAAAATTTGACTTTAGATTCAGAATACTTTATTAATCCCAAAAGGAAACTATTAATTATGACATCAATTTATCTGTTATGCCATTTTTTTTTATAGCTATACCTTCATATTCTTGGTCTGATTATTTGTTTATGTCTGAAATGTTCATGAGCGATCTGATGGCTCCTCATTCATTCCCTGTGCGACCTGATCCTCAGGGGGTAAAATATATATATTTTTTTACAGTATACCGTCATATTCTTGGTCTGATTATTTGTTTGTACCTCAAATGTTCATGGGTGACCAACCTGCATACAAACTGTTTTACATGTTTTTATATTACTATATCCTTTCTGTGTATAAAACTTTAATAAACTCAGATTGAAGATAAATTATGTATTATGTATAGTGACTAAGGTTTATAAGGAGTGCTGTGCCACCTACTGCTTCATGCACTAATGCACTCATTCTACGCCCCAAAAATCTTCTCAATTATAAGTCATGCAAATTGTGACATTTCTGTGAAATCTTTCAAATATGGATTTTCCTATTTCTAATGCATATGTCGCACTCAACAGGAACATGCACTGTGAATTATTGTTTTATTTGTTCCACTGGTTAAGGATGTTGTACCGCTGATAGTTTATCAGACCCATCATGTTGCCAGTCCAGTGAAACTCCACCCAGTAAGTCACACGCTTTATCCAAGCCCCCTCAAAGTTTTGGTGGCTGTCACCTCCACGTCCAGTCGAACACAAGATAAGTTCTTCAAATAATGATTCTATCCATTTATATATTGTAGCTCCAAATATATCCAAAGAGCTTAAAGCAGAACTACAGTGTATCCGAGCGCCACAAAACAAAAGCATTATTTAATTCAGTTTTAATATTCAAAGCAAACTCACTCATCCATCAATGTCTCTCCATGCTTTATTTTGCTGAGAAATCACTTCAGAAAACAACCTCTAGCATTTCTGGCTGAGACCATCTTGAGTTAAGGCAGATGATTCATGGAGCAATTACTTCCTGGAATCCATCTGCCCTTAGCTCAGATATATAGGCAAGAGGGTGTGCTTAGCTGAGAAAACGCCTCCTCCTCTCCTGAAGACTCCTGGGATGTATGACATCATATGCCTAGGCATGGAACCTAGAAAGTAACTAAGGAAATGTAAAAAACTGCTTAAAACAGGTACATATGATATACAGTACATTCCTATGTTTTTACTAATGCTAGCAGCATAAAGATTTAAAATAGTCAATGTTGCTTGAGAGAGTGAAGTTCCACTTTAACAGACTATTTAGATCAGGTTGTTACTCCTGCCGTATTAATCAAAAAACATTCTAGGATCAATATTAAAGTGAGCCTTCACTTGAATGTAAAAGTACCGTCTCAAAAGTACCGTACAAAAGTAGCATCCCAGGAGGCTGCAGGACCAGTCTCACTGCGCGATGCAATCTCACACATGCACAGTGAGGAGCCAGCTGTGCTCCATCAGGAAGTCACAACCTGCTCCCATATCCAAGATGGTGGAGCCGGGAACCAACAGCAGTGAGAATTGTCTACAGTACTGGACTCCATGGACTGGTAAATACCTTATTTTTAAAAGTGAGCAACTATATGGGTGGGTGTGCCCAAAGTTGATCATTTGCAGATAATCACTCCATGAGCACGACCGTGAACAGCTGGGGGAGCTGTCAGCCTCCTATTGCTTTCAATGGGGCTACTCTGTCACAGCTTATCATCGGGAACCCCCCCCAATAGATCTCCCACTTCTAAACGCAGATGGTCCTATTTGCAAGGGTGAATGGAACCCTAGACCTCTTGCATGCAAAGAAATGGAACCTTTCTGTTTTGCCCATTGCAGCTATTCCAGCTGTCATTTTGCTGTTGCAGGTTAGAAATGTTAACATCCAGTTGGTTGTTGTGGGTGACACAGATTCCTCTGGTTTCTGCATAAATTATCCAGTGAATACAAAAGATCTAATTCTGGTGTATTTTTGGTTGCAGGTGTATAATGGATCCATTGATGCCCCATACACCAATCCCCGGGCTCCTGTCCACATAACCACAGGATCTGCTGTGAGTAAAATATAGACATGATAATGACAAATACATTACTAATATATTGTAGGAATACAGCAGTAAACGTCCCATACACTCAATAGCAATTTCTTTTTTATTAGGCTTCAATTACATATATAAAAAGCTACAGATGTTTTACACACTTCCTGCCTTTAAAGTGACACTAAATTATATCCTTCCTCTCCAAAACTAACCCATACTCATCCACTACTTAAAGGGGGCTTGTAGTCTATTTTTTTTATTATTTCATTTTTTACTGTGTTTTTCTGCCTCCTTGCAATGTCCTATGTGAGCCCTTGAACCTCTCATTTTCCTCCTCACCTAGTTTGGAGTGGGTAGTGCACGTTAGTGGTCATGTGCACTGCTCTAAGTACAATACAAATCCCAGAGAATATAGACCATTCTGAGGGCAAGCAAGGGAAGGTGGCTATATTCTTACATACAGTGGAACAAAAGTAGCCACCCTCTAATATTCACAGCAGCAGAAAAAAAAGGAATTGGGGATTTGTGCAGGGATATATTTCCAGTTTTCTGAAAATTCCCTTTTCAGTGGGCCTAATCAGAGGAAAGAATCAAAGTACCACACATGCACCACAGTCAGGACTGGTAGCTGCATACAGTCTGCTTGAACCTGGATGGGTGGATGTATTACTTTTAGGGCTCATTTGCATTGCTTTAAAATCTGGCAACTAGCAGATGGCACACATGGTACGCAATGTGGGAATGTTATAAGGGAAGGTGAGTGGGGACTGGAAAGAGAGGACTGAGCGATGGAGGATCAGCAGAGCTGGGGGTTACTATTGAGTGGAGGATCAGCAGAGCTGGGGGTTACTATTGAGTGGAGGATCAGCAGAGCTGAGGGTTACTATTGAGTGGGGGATCAGCAGAGCTGGGGGTTACTACTGAGTGGGGTATTAGCAGAGCTGAGGGTTACCAATGAGTGGGAGATCAGCAGAGCTTGGGGTTACTACTGAGTGAGGCATCAACAGAGCTAGGGGTAACTACTGAACGGTGTTTTAGAAGAGCTGGGAGTAACTACTGAGTGGGGCATCAGCAGAGCTGGGATCTGCTGAATGAGGGTACCAATGAGCTGGGGATCTGCTAAGCAGGGGTATTCCTGAGCTTGGAGTACTACTGAGCTGAGATTCACAGTCTGGTTTAAGGTTAGATGTTTAGTGTAGAATGGATGAGGCGAGCAAACTGGCAAACTTTACAAGGCATTCAAGAGAATCTCCATAAACCATGTTAATGCATCATGCTGTGTATTTGTTCACGGTTTTCATCCAAGGGCTGTAATGAGAGGCTTGATCCATTCTTTCCTCTACACCGGGAGTGGAGTGCAGTAAGGATTGAAGATTATGGCTATACTCGGATCCACGTTGCCAATAAGACTCACATACACATTCAACAAGTGTCCGATGATCAGGTATGTGCATGTGTTAGTGTTTCTACATGGGGGTACAAATGATGGGCTCTACATGAAGTGATCATAACAACTAAAGACGTACAAGATGCATAAACCAATCCTACTTGACATAGCAGCCTACATTACCATTTATGACCCACTTCTCTGCCATTTTCTATAAGACCACTGGGGGACGTGGAGTCATTGAGACTGAAGCATGATGTCTTTGTAGCACTTTTGCTGAGGTTTATAATAAAATTAGATCTTCTTAAAGCATAAAAATGTTAATATATTGCATCTTACCTTCTTTTTAAAGTTTCTTTTGCTGTATTTCCACCTTTAATAGCACACTTCCTGCCCCTGGGTAGCTCTAGCACTTCTTCACTATATCATTGAAGGTTGCCACCCTGAACTCCTGATATGGACTACAACCATGTCCTTATCTCTTCATCTCAATAGCATGGGGGGCAGGGCTATTGGTAGTTTTCAAAAGATAACTAGAACAGAAGTTAACCTTCAGAAAGTGACAAAGGACCAGCAAGATTGACAAGTATTTTCTGTACTTGTTGAAAGTGTCACTAGCTGCAAAAAAAGATGCCTAATACAGCCACCACCTATATTAATGTCTGTTAGGCTGTTATATGTTACATTTTGTTACAAGCGTAATTAAACTCGAATTTTTGAAAAATCACTGACAAGCAGGACTTTTATAGCAATAGAAGAGACTCGCAGCTTCCGTTCTCTTTCTTTCTCGCAATCCGAGCAGAAGCCCCCCCTCCCCCTTTGCCCTCAGTCTTACGGGACACATCACAGGTTTCAGGAGGCTGCAGGACCATACACAAAGCACAGCGCAGCTCTCGCACATGTGCAGGGGGAAGCCAACTGTGAAGCTGCAAGGAGTCACAGCTGGCTTCCCGTAGTGAACATGCTGACGCCTTGGACCCAAACTAAAATTAAGTGGACAGGCCCATTCTGTAGAGAGGGTCCTCACTTCTCTCCAAGTGTACACTATTGGCCACAGAGGCTCTGGCATTTGACCATTTAATGACAAGGTGCATAGCTTAGGCCTGGTTCACACCTATGCATAATGCAGTGTTTCTCAACTCCAGTCCTCATGGACCCCCAACAGGTCATGTTTTCAGGATTTCCCTCAGATGAAACAGCTGTGGTAATTACTAAGGCAGTGAAACTGATCAAATCACCTGTGCAAAATAATGGAAATCCTGAAAACATGACCTGGTGGGGGTCCATGAGGACTGGAGTTCAGAAACACTGGCATAATGCAATATGCTGTGGAAAAAACGTCCCTGAACCTTTCCAAAAACGCAGTGGCTGAAAACACATAGATGTGAATATGTCCCATAGGAAACCATGTTCAATGGACTGTAGTGCATTTTTGCAAAAAGCACTAAAAAATGCATAGGTGTGAACCAGGCCTTGGTACCCATTCGGACAGGGCTTAATCCTGACTGGTGGCACATCAAGGCTCTGTATTCGCCAGGTACAAGGGAAACCAGATTAAGATTTAGAGATGGTAAAAGGCTAATGCTACCTTTTGCAACATGTTACATGTCACACCCATGTTGCTAAGCAAACTTCCCCAAAAGAATGCATTGGTTCTCTCACCCCACAGCAGCTGTCATTTTGTAAATAGGCTCCACCCACACAGACACTTGATTAATTCACAGAGATCTGTGAATTAATGAAATACAAGTCCCATGTGCCACTGTAGCAGACAAACTTGTAGTTTTTAATGGAACACGAGTGCAGTGATCGCTGTACTCTTAGTCCATTGACTCTTCCTCCAGCTTTCCAATTGACAGACTGTACCTTGGTATGGACAGGAAGCTGGGGAAAGAGCCTATGGGAACCTGGCGTTGCACCCTCAATCCACTGGTCACAGGTGCAATGAACTTAGCCTTTAAAAGGACATATGGGAATTTTCATTGCTCACCTGATTTTCAAGGTGTGGGCTTTCATTCTAAGGCCACATTCACAGTTGCGAATGGGGCCGGCACCAATTACATGCGAGAACCCCAGAAGGGGTTCCCCACAATTAGCTGGGGGAGGCAGCTCCATTGAAAGCAATGGAAGCCTAACAGCTTCCGCAGCTAATGGTGGCATGGAGCGGCCACCTGCAAGTGATTGGTGTTGGATGCAGACAGTCTGCAGTGGGGTTCTCGTATATAATCAGTCCCACTCTCAAGTGTAAATGTGGCTTTATGCTTGTGTAGGCTCCAATCACACTTATGCAGTTTGCTTTTTGTCTATTTTGCAGTGCTTATTGCTGTTTGTTTTGTGTTTTTTCTACACACGTTTTAACCGTGTTATGCATTTTTGTTCATTTTTTTTTTTTGCTGGGCAGAATCGAAACACACAAAAATGCATTACCACGCATTTCAGCAGATTCTCTATTGAAATCTATTTTAGCAAAAATGCTGCTTTTTGCTTAAAAAAAAAAGTCTGTGACCCTTTCCAAAAAAGCAGCAGCAGTTTAAAAAAGCGTAGATGTGAGCATGTTCCATAGGAAACCATGTTAAGTGGACTGTACTACGTTTCTGCAAAAAGCAATAAAAAACACATTGGTGTGAATGGAGCCTAAGTCACTGAACTGCAGCAATCTAGTGTGTATGTGAGATTGAGACACTTGATATGCACGTTTATTTCTAATATGCAGCTAATTAGGCAGAGATAAATATGACAGCCCCTGGGCCACAAATTAGCAGTGACAGATTGTGTATCCCTGTCTTGATACGTTTCTTTTGAACAATATTAGTTTTTTCATGTTAAAGTTGTTGTAAACCCTAATATATATAATTTTAGTTGCATGTAATCTTTTTCTGTTTTCCCCTAGGATGGAGAGATCGTGGATGATATATGGCTGATTAAAGACAAGAGCTAAAAATACAGAGATTTCTGGCTAATAGCAAACCAGACAAGGCTCTAAATACAAATCCAGCCTTCTAAATCCCTGATGTCCAACCTGCGGCCATTTGGGACTAGGGCCCTCAGGGGACCCTGCAGACTTTAGTCTGTATTTATCTTACCTAGATGCTTCTTAAGGGCCAATTCACACTGACTTGCGCTATAATTTATGGAAAATGCATGTCCATTTCTATCACGTTTTAACATGCACTGACCTTTGTTGACATGCATACACAGCGTTATGGTGTGAATAGTACAAATTGGAAACCATTGTTTTTCAGATGTTCTTCCATTGATCTGTGTTTTACAGCTGCTCTAAAATGTAGATCAACGCACTGGTGTGAAGGCCCCCAAGCCAGTGAAGGAAAAATATTCTGTATACCAGCTTCTAGTAGTTAAATGATTTTTTTTTCTTTTATAATGGATCTTGCTGGGAGAAATTCCAAATGTGGCTTAAAAGAGAAGTATGGCCAAAGTTTTTCTGGCCATACTTCTCTCCTGGGTCACAGAAGTGCATTTATTTCTGCATTCCTGTGATCCAGTTTCAGCTCACATCACAGAGCCCGCTCAGTCTCTGGATGTATCCCAACATTATTGTCAGAATCCACCCAGGTAACTGACCGGCTGCTGGCTCAGCCTTTCAGCGTGCTGCTGAGAGCCTGGGACAGCTGCTCCCACCCCCTCCACACCCTGGCGCTCCAGAGAGCACCGGGGGGGGGGGGGGGCAGAGCAGAAAGCGATGACTGACAGTCATTGCTCTCTGCTTAGTGAAGACTGAGAACTGAGTGATCAGCAATCATGTGATTGCTCAGTTCTCAGTCTTACAGATGGCAGGAGACAGCTTCAGCATCGGATCGATGCTGCAGCCATCAAGGCAAACATGTATGTTTGAGTTTTCCAATCCCACACTCCTTGAAATAATTTTTAAGATGGCTGCAGGAAACAGAAATGGGGAAGCAATGAAGCTGTAATAGCATTGATCTCTAGTCTCACATAATGTCTCCACGCTGTGAATGTCTCCTGAAGCATATCCCCAGTCTCCAACAACTCCCATAGAATGCAGGCAGTCTTTGACCATCTCCTGTTGCATGTATGCAGTCCTAAAGGTCTTCAAAGCATTACATTCACTAAATATTGGGTGGTGATGTTTGGGATCATACTTGAGGCCCTCTGTACCAAGAAAATTAACCATCACTGTTCTATATCAATCAGTGTGATTCATCCCCAGAATGATGTCTCTTACTTTCTACCTCTCAGGAACGATCACATATGCTATGTGTACTAAACTCGTACAAAAAAAAATAAATATATATATATATATTTGTGTTCAAAATAGCAGTATGTTGAAAAAAGTGAATAAAGCTCTTTGCTCTTTTGCAAATTGTAACCTCTTCAGCACGTCTTTTTTCCAACAGTGGGACTTTGCGGGGGCTTCTTGCAGATAGCTTGGCTTCACATAGGTGTCTTCTATTTGTAACAGTACTCACAGGGAACTTTACACCTTCTTTGATCTTCCTGGAGCTGATTGTTGGCTATTGCCATTTTGGCTATTCTTCTATCCATTCGAATGGTAGTTTTTCGCTTTCTTCCACGTCTTTCAGGTTTTGGTTGCCATTTTAAAGCATTTGCAATCATTTTAGCTGAGCAGCCTATCATTTTCTGCACTTCTTTATATGTTTTCCCCTCTCCAATTAACTTTTTAATCAAGGTACGCTGTTCTTCTGAACAATGTCTGGAACGACCCGTTTTCCTCAGAATTTCAGAGAGAAATGCACTGTAACCAGCATGTACAACATTTGCTGCCTTCCTTCCTTAAATATGGGCAATAATTGGAACCTGTTTTTCAAAGAATGAGTGACCTCACTAATAGAACTCCACACTGCTATTATTTTGAACATGCCCCTTTCAATTAGTGATTCAATTACACAGAATCAGCAGCATGCATGTCATGACTGTTGGGTCTGTTGGATTTCTATTACTCTACTACACCTGCTAGTAAATTATTTGCCATGTAGAAATATCATTTCTACCAAAAACAGTGATTGATCAGGTTAGTGATGTCTGACTGCTAATATTATGAACACAACTGTATATATATATATTTTAGTAATCTCAGACTGGAAGCACTATAAGCCACCGAGAACATCAACATACTGTAGGACTTGTACACTTGGTTGGGATCAGGTTAGCAGTTTTATTTTTCTGCAAAGAAGAGAGAATGCTATGATCAGTATTCGCAGCTCAAGGAGTGTCTGGGTCAACTAAACCAGCAGGATCTGTTTCCGTTGGCAGAAACCCCAGTTGTCATTGCAGGCCTACTTTATGGATGAAACAGACAGTCAATGCCTTAATAAACTATTTAAAGGGGATTTCCACAAACTGGAATATCCCTCTGTGCCTGGGACCCCTCCCTGTAGTAACACAGCGGGCCCTATTTATAAAGAACTGGCCAGTTACTATTTTTACTGATTGCCTGGTAATTCACCACCAAAATTGTAAGGTATTTAAAAAGCAGCGGCCATAGCTCTGGTGAATTTATTTAAAAAAAAAGAAAAAAAAAAGAGGAAACTGTGAAAAATAAATAAACTAAGCAGATTCTAAAAATGTATTATGCAGATGATAGCTAGATGGATTCATATATTTATGGAAGTTATAAACTTAATGTTTTTTTTTTTTTTACTTTTTATCATGATTACATAATTGGTTTAAATGATTTTATCTTCTTGATCCCCAGCTTTAATTCCCAAATCCATTGTTGGGTACCGGAGGAAAAGCTAGATACCAGGAGGCGAAACCTACTATACAAAAGGCCTCGTCCTCTTAACTCCCACCCACCTGGAGCAAGATCCCTTCATACTTTTCAACAGTTCCTTCTAATAGTGGCCAAAAAAAGCTTTGATAAATTATGGATTTCTTCCGATAGAAATAATTTATCTATAGTTGATTGATATGCTATATGCAGAGAAGTGGATTTTGATCAACATTTATTTATTTTAGTTAAGGTGCAATCATAACTTATGATCACAAGTTCTCACATCTCATCTCTGTTTCCACCGTGTAATCTCATTACCGGATCAATTGAGTTACGATCAAAGTAATTCACAGTGCTGCCGATCGATAGAAAGCAATCGATAATTTTTGAGTTTGATTGAATTCAATCTAAATTGATCATAAGGGAAGGTATGACTATCCAATTGTTTGTGGATTCAATCATTTTTATCGAATCGCACATCGTTTGGATAGTGAAATGGAAACGTCTGTGTCCACCATAGGAGCTAACTGGCCACTGAGGCTCTCACACTGGTTTGTTGAATGGTTTTGTCAATGTTATATAGCACTTCTGCCTTGCCGCACTGAGGTCTCTGGTTCAAATCAGGACACCAATGAATTCTGGTCAAGACACTATCTGCATGGAGTTTGCATGTTCTCCCCTGTGCACTCTGCTTTCCAAAGACATGCTGGTTGGGTAATTAGCACCTAAGTTGGCCCTAGTATGTGTGTGCAGGTCCTATTTTGTATGAATGTGAGATAGGAGTCTTAGACTGTAAGCTCCTTGAGGGCAGGGACTAATGTGAATAAAAAGTATGTAAAGCACTGCATAAATGATAATTTGGAGGTTTGTAGCAGAAGGCTCTGAACTGGACAATAAGTTAACTGTAAATATATTTTTAATATGTAATGACCACATGATCAAAATGTTTTATTACAACGTAAAAAAAAAATATGTTTTGCAACTGTGTAAATAAAATGTATGTATATTTTTGTGTGTGTGTTGACACTTCTTTCTAGCTTTGTTAATACTTGCCTAATTATTGGAGCTCATTCACATCACATTGTGTGTTAAAATCACTTCTCTATGTGTCTATGTGAAATGATTATGTTGACCTGTCAATCATTTCTTGAAATACAAAGACATTTCTTTTTATTTTGGGAGCAGTAAAGTAGTACCTCTTATTAGAATTCCCCATCCTTATTATCTCGTCAACCAAATCTAAAATAGATTCCATTGTCCTAATGGAAAAAAACTGCCCTTGCATTTGATCACCACTTTCAGACAGTGTTGCGTGTACCTATAGGGCACAGGTGTCAAACTGGTGGCCCTCCAGTTGTTGCAAAAATACAAGTCCCATGAGGCATTGCAAGATTGACAGTTACAAGCATGATTCTCCAAGGCAAAGGCATGATGGGATTTGTAGTTCTACGACAGCTGGAGGGCCGCCAGTTTGACACCTCTGCTATAGGGGGTACAACTTGTACTGTCACGTAGGCAGTGGGCTCTCTGCATCAACAGGTGAATGTAGGCCCTAAAGATGGCAGAGGTGCAGGGGCTAAGGCTTACTATACAATCTGAGAAATCAAGAAAAAAAGAAAGGTTGTTCAAGAATGTCCCATCAGTATCAAAGTTACACTAAATTCATAAAAACGTATATTTTATTATAAAAAGTCATATAACACAGTGGCTAAATGGTTAGCACTTCTGCCTGGCAGTACTAGGGTCGTTCGTTCGAATCCCAGCCACGGCACCACCTGCCTGGAGTTTGCATTTTCTCCCTGTGCCTGCGTGGGTTTCCTTGGGGTACTCCGGTTTCCTCCCACACTCCAAAGACATGCTGGTAGGTTACTTGGATCCTGTCTAAATTGGCCCTAATATGTGTATGAATGTAAATTAGGGACCTTAGATTGTACACCTCTTGAGGGTTAGGGACTGATGTGAATGTACAATATATACAGTGGGGCAAAAAAGTTTTAGTCAGCCACCAATTGTGCAAGTTCTCCCACTTAAAAAGATGAGAGAGGCCTGTAATTGGCATCATAGGTAGACCTCAACTATGAGAGACAAAATAAGTAAAAAAAATCCAGACAATCACATTGGCTGATTTGGAAAGAATTTATTTGCAAATTATGGTGAAAAATAAGTATTTGGTCAATATCAAAAGTTCATCTCAATATACTTTGTTATATATCCTTTGTTGGCAA